ATACTGTTACTATACAGCTACTGCTTCTACTACTGCTGATTTCTTCTACTGCTACTACTACAACTATTATCATTACGACTACTACTACTACTACTTCTATTAACTACGGTTGTTAATTTTTACTACTACTACTACCACAACTACTGCTGCTGCTGTTACAACAACAGCTACTACAACTACTGTTGTTGCTACTGCTGTTACAAGAACAGTTATTACTACAACTACTGCTACCATCCTAGTATTCCTACTATTACTATTACTTCGACTGCTGCTGCTATTACTAATAATACTTATCCTACTGATATTTTTTGCTACGCCTGCTACTAATACTACAAGCCACAATAGTAGGGACAAATATTCGTAAGGTAAGTTTGAATACAAATAAGCAACCAAAAGCACAAAGAATAACCTAAACACCCCCCAAAAAAAGAAGAAAAAAATCTTTCTCTCCCACCCGCCATCCGCAATTCTTCATGGAGACCGGCCTCCGTCTGCCCCGCGCCGCCCGCATCAGAGACTCGCTTCCTCTGTCGCCTCCCCTTCCCCCGCGCCGCCATTACCTGTCACGTGATCCATGACGAAGTAGTCGGCCTGCGAGCGGTCCTCGTGGGGCTGCGACGTCGCCGACGCCTGCCCCAGCGACTGCCTGGCGGGGCTCTGGTGCTGCGGCGAGCCCGGGCGCGACGCCAGGGAGCTCCTCCGCTCGAGGGTGCGGGAGGGCCGCGCCGATGCTCCTCCTTCGTCGAATTGTTCAGGCGAGGCCTTGGCGGCCTCCGTGGCGGAGGCGCCGCTGTCAGTAATCCCGGCCGTTGCTTCGGCTGCCTGAGCAGAACCGGCGGGCGCGTGGGAGGCGAGGGTGCCCTCGGAGGGCGGGGCCTGCTCGCGTGCCCCTCTCTCGGGCGCGGGGGCGTCCTCCTCGGGCATCACCGGCGACGTCGCCGTTTCGCTGACGGTCTGGTACGTGGGCGTGCTCTCGCCTCGGCTCGGGCACGCGGGGCTGGCCTCCGCCCGCACCTGGAACGACGGGATGCGCTCGAGGCCCGCCTGGTGCGTGGGCAGGCCGTCCTGCTTCGCCCTGCTGTCCCCGCCCAGCGACGCGCCCTGAGTCGCCAGCAGGTAGGACGCGCCCGGGGGCGTCTTGTCCCCTTTGGTCGCGTCCGCGGGCCTCGTGGGCGACCTGCCCGACGAAGGCGGCTGCGGGGCGGCCTTCTTCGGCCGGCGCGGCACCGGAGGAGGAACGAGCGACCGCGGAGGCGCCTCGGCCGTCGGGGCGCCGGCTTGCCCTTCGCGCTTTGACTGCGGCGGGGGCTCGTACTGGTGGAAGGCGGGCGGCGGCGGGCGCGGGGGCGGCCTGGGCACTGCGGGCGCCGGGGGCCTCGGGGGCGGCTGGCGGCGGGAGGGCGAGGCGCTCGACTCCCGGGACGCGCTTTTGGTTGCGGCGCCGCGGCCGGCGCGGTCGAAAGGGCGCTGTAGATGGCCTCCAGCTGCTTCTCCTGGCGCCCGTCGAGGCCCTGCGGGGGGAGCGAGGCGGGGGCGGAATCCTGGGGCGCGCCGGAGGCCCCCCCGACCCTGGCGACGGGGATGGCTTGGTTGGAGACGACGATGCTGGGCAGGGCGTAGGTGCCGTGCCCCGCGCCCCCCCTCCAGCGACGCCGCCCGCGCCGTGACGCCGACCGCGCCGCCCTTCCTGCCGGAGCCGCCGGGGCGCCGCGAGCGGAAGCTGTTGTCCAGCTCGGTGTCGCTGCTGGAGGTCTCGGGCGCCCGCAGGAGGCTGGTGAGGCTGCTGCGGGAGCCCGTGGAGCGGCGCTTGCGGCGCTTGGCGTCGCCCGCGTCGCCGCTGCTGGCGAGGCTGCCGGAGGTCTTGGGGAGGCTGGAGTCCTGCGCGGCGGGCTCGCGCTTGGGCTCCTTGTGGCTCCTGTAGGTGCTGGCGTTGGAGTGGACGGCCGCCTTGCGCGCGCGCGGCGGCGTGCTGCGCGGGGACACGCTCTTGTAGCGCTGCACCCGGGACAGCTGCTGCACGCCCGCCGCCCTGTGCCTGGGCTGCCGCGGGCTGGCGCCCTCGGTCGGAGGCTCCCTTCTGGAAGGGGAGGGGTCCTTCGGGCGGGGGGCGCCGTCCCCCGGGGCCGCCTGGGCGCCCGGGAGGTAGCCCTTGGCCGCCAGCACCGCCGCTATCTCGCGCAGGATGTACTCCTTGCTGGAGGAGTCCTCGGCGTCGGCGGCGGGCGGCCGCGCGGGCGTCATGTCGGGGAAGGGCGTCTTGGGGCTGGGGCGCGCGCGCCGCGTGACCAGGCTGGCCTCCTCCGCCACCTCCTGCCGGATCTGGCGCTCCACGGCCTTGATGCGCTCCTCGATGTACGACTTGATGAGCGACTCCGAGAGGCGGTCGTCCAGGCTGGCGTCCGTCGCGGCGTCGAGGCGGTGGTGGTGGTGGGCGCTGCGGCCGAGGCGGAAGCTCTCGCTGCGGGGCTTGGCGCGGGGGCGGTCGGTGCCCGACGGGGCCGCAGACCGGGGCCGCGGCGCCCGAAGCTGGTCGTGTTCCGCTTGCTGTAGTTCCTCTCCTCCTTGGCCTTCTTCAGCGCCTCGACCTCCGACTTGGTCTTGGAGGGCTCGTGCTTGGCGGCCTCGGCCTGCGCCTTCAGCTGGCGGTTCTTGAGGAAGACCTGCAGCGCCGCCTCCTCCTCGCTGGTGGGCGGGATGGAGCTCTCGGCCTTGGCGCCCCGCAGCGAGGGCGCGCGCGGCTGCAGGCGGTCCACCTTGACCTCGAAGAGCGTCTCCTCGTAGGTGAGCTCGTCGTAGGGCGTGGTCATGCCGGCGTAGAGGTGCGTGTCGTGCGCCGACGTGAAGCCCGAGGGCGACTTGCTCTCCAGGGTGGAGTAGGTGCCGGCGATGCCCTTGCGGCGGTCGTAGAGGCTCTTCTCGAGCTCCGTGGAGTGGTCGCTCTCGGCCAGCAGGTGGCGGTGCTGGCGGAAGAAGGCGTCGGGGTCGAAGGAGCTCTCGAAGTCCGTGTTGTCCTGCACCGTCTTGTCCCACAGGAAGGACGTGTTGCGCCGCGGCAGGAAGGACTCGGGCGACGAGGAGTCGGCGGGCAGCGGGAAGTGGGTGTGGGTGCCTTTGAGGGCCGTGTCGGGCACCGGCGGGAACATGACGTCGTCCATGCCCCCGAGCGTGCGCCACAGTCGCGTGTGCGCCCGCAGGTGAGGGTTCACCGTCTCACATCCTGAGTGCAACATACATCACACTCGCGCGCACGCACACACGAACACACGACGATCCAGCACTTCGGGAGATGACACTCTTTCACTCGCTCAGCGCGGCGAAAGACCGGCGGTCGAGGCTCCCAAATGAACGCCCCAGGTCCCTCTTGCTGTTCTCTAAACACACGTGAGGATTAACCCTCAAAAAATTGGGGCACTTGCGGTGATATTTTCCTTTTCTCTTCTTTTTAATTCCCCGAAGGCAGTCCGCCCTCCTGTCGGCCGACGCTGCTCGCTCGCCGTGTAAAGTGGCGCTCATCAACGGAACGCACCATTTGCGACGGGAGTTGCGGAACAGAGCCAATCTCTGGTGGATTCAGTCATCACCGGCATCCTCTAACGGCACTAAATATCGTGGAAACTAGCAAGCAATTTCTACTGTCAAAACTATGGCACTCCTTGGGGTCAGGACTTGATAATAACAACAATGATAAAAAGAACACCAGCTCGTAATACTTTCTTAAGGATAACAAACACTCCAGAAGAACTGTTGCTTATAAATCATCCTTTGGCATTATTATCAGCGTATTCTCGAGGCACTGCGGGTCAGTTGGTGGCACAGGAACGCAAACAGCAAACCATAAACAGGGATGATGGCACTCCTTCTTGGCACAAAGTCCGAACACCAGTCCACATCTTTTAAGAATCTCTTCGGACCAGAAACACCTTATTTTTCTCCAAGTCCCAACGTCACAATATAACACAAAACGAAACAAAACCACCCTAAAAAACACTAATAAATATCCAACGAATTCACTGTCTCTTTCTCTCTCTCTCTTCCAAAACACCGCACCGACACCACCGCTTCAGCCAGCCATCCTCCGAAACGAGATGCGTCTCTCTCTCTCTCTCTCGTTTTCCGCAGAAGGTCCTCAGCGCTGCCGATCCGACGTCTTGGCGCGTGTGGCCATTCGTCGCCAACGGTTACGGAGCGAGTGGGACGCCGCCGCCGCCGCCATGATCTAGTGAACTCTCTGGGCCGACCAATGGGACTCGGGGCCGCGGTAACATATGGCGGACGGGAGCGGCGGCGGCGGCGCTGCGGCCTCGGAGGGGGAGTGGGGAGGGGGGGAGGGGGGAGGGGGGGGGGGAGCTCCTGGCCAGCTCTCCTGCTTCTCCTTCTCCTTCGTGGCTCCTCCTCTTCTTCTCATTCTTCTCTCTTCTCCCTCTCCTTGTTTTCCTTCAACTGATTCTGTGTGTAAAACACGGCTGGCTAGTTCTCGTGCCCTGATTTCTCCTTCTCCTCCTTGCTTCTTCCTCTTCTCCTCCTCCTTCTCGTCTTCTTCTTCTTGTCATTTCCTTGAGTAAACTCGACTGGCTAGTTTCCCTACTCCTGCTCCCACTTTTCCTGCTCCTTGTCTCCTTTTCCTCTTCTCTTTCTCCTTCTTGTCTCTTCTTCTTCCCTTTCTCCTTCTTTTCCTTCTCTATTTACTCCTATTCGTGCGTCTTCCTCTCTCCTGTTATTTATTTTTCCCTCTTCGATCTCTCCTTCTTCTTCTTTTCACCTCTTCGTTTGCTTCTTTAATTTTCTTCTTCTCTTCCACTTCAAGTTCTTCAACTCCTTCCATTTCTTTTTTATTTCTCTCTCTTCCATCCGTCTTAATCTTTCCCCTTCCTCTTTCCTTTCCCTCTCCTCTAGCCTATTTATTCTTCCTTCTTTTTCTCCTCTTCTCTTAATCTATCCCTTCTCCTGTTCCTTCCTTCCCGACTTTAACTTTCCCTCCTCTTCTTCCTCCATCCCTCCCC